CCCAACATAAACCTGGGATATAAAAACATGTGGTGAAAAAAATAAAAGAATGGAAATAGGCCCTGTAAAGAATTATTGAATAATTTATATTATTTTGCTTAGAGTAGATAAATTTGAGGGTAAACCTCCATTAAATACGAGCTGGCTGAGGACATTTTGTAAGTCTGACAACAACAGTGGGGAACATTCCTTTTAAGGTGTTTGCATGTGAGCCAGCAGACTTTTTGGGAACCTAACAGATATATTGCTCAATACAAGTTCTATCTGGTTTGAGGTGTCTGAGAATCTTCTTTCTTTCTTTCTTTCTTTCTTTCTTTCTTTCTTTCTTTCTTTCTTTCTTTCTTTCTTTCTTTCTCTCTCTCTCTCTCTCTCTCTCTCTCTTTCTTTCTTTCTTTCTTTCTTTCATTCTTTCATGAATGACATCGCTTGTTACTTTCTCACTGAAAAGGAAACAAGGAAAATTGCCTTTTAGTACTAAAAAAGTAAAGAGTAAAGATCAATAACACCTGTGCCCAGAGGTTATTGGTAAGTTTCTTCCCTAGCCTTTAATAGAAAAATATTTCTCTCTTTCTAACCACCTGCTTGAAGATAGGCACAAGCTGGATCCCTGTGTGTTTAGTTGTCTTTTGAAGTTTAGAGTAAATCATGATTTCTTTTTTAAATCATGGTTCAGTTGTTCTCCCATGCAGTCAGCTTTGAGCTTATTTTTTTTGTATTTTCTACATGACCTAAATGGACATGTAATCTCAAAATACCTGGAATTAAAATAACCACACCATATCACCAAAAGATAGCCAAGGAAGAAAAAAAATCAGTCTTCTTCTTTAAGTCAGTTAGTTCTTTTTTAATAAATTTGAATTCATTCATCAACAAGTTTCATATTGTATCTATCACTCAATTTTGCTGTTTTTTTCATGTCAAATAATACCAAAAAATTACATCAATGTGCTTAAGCAAAATTGGGTTTTAATTTATCTTTACAATGAAATGAAATCAACATGGGAATTGATCATGACAGCAATCGCCTATTCCTACTAGAATAATCCTGTACTTACCTTGAACACACTCACTGACTTGTAAAGTAGAAATATAAGACAAGAATGATAAAACATGTTTATGGGGCTCACCCTAGGGAGAGGCATGTTATCATAGCCACTCTCTGGGAGATCACTGTTTACCCAGGTGTTGGGAATTGAGTATTTTGGAAAACATGGCAGCTTTCAATGCAGTAGAAGAGGTAATCGATCCAAGGCACACTAGCTAGTGTCCTGGGAAAATTTAGTCCACCTGGGCAGCTCTTTGCCCCACGATTCAACGTTACTCTGCTGATGGCTCATGTAAGAGGAGAGCCAGAGTTATTTCCATGAGTAACAAAATATTTCACCAATTGTTCAGTTTTGATTACATAAAAATGGCCAGAAATATGAACTAGTTTTCAGGTGGAGCATTAAGTAAGGATTATAAGATGGATTATAATTTCAAGCCAGGAGATTCAAAATTAGACATATTCTCTGTTTTCAGATACACCATTGTGGTACTAACACCGAGGTTATCTACTAGATGCTGAAAGTGAACACCTACAGGTGCAATGTGCCTGTCCCCTTAAAACCAATCCCAAATATGTGTGGCATCACCTCTGGATATCTTCTAGGTAGAAATGTTAATTCTAAAGCTGCACAGGGGAAAAGTGTCTTTCATGAAAATGACTGAATATGTCAAAAGTTCTGGATGCTGGCATTAAAAACATAGGAATTTGCAGATGCACCTGTAATCTTCAAACCTAACAGGAATATTACCATGACATACTTCCTAGCTCATTTATGACTCATGGGGGAAATGAATGTCTCATGATATAGACAGTGAAACCCCTCTATAGTCCTGGGGTTGGTGAACAAGATTAACACTTGTTTTAAAGATTTACTCAAGTCTTATCAGTCTTTCACTGTAGGGATTTATTTGTAGGGCTCTTGAGTTGTCTCAAGTATATCTGAATATGGATAATAATCAACTTTCAGAGCAAGATTCTTCAGTACATTTTGAGCCCCTGTGAAGCATTTTGGAAAGACAGGACTACATAGAAAATTAACTTTTTATTACGTTCAGTTGTTGAGAAAGAAATACCATTATATTCCAAATTCAACTTTTCTCTCCTTACTCAAGATGTCTGGACGTGGGTAACAGCCACTTTACATTAATGTCAGAGGTCCAGGTTCAGAATTCATCAATACAGCTCACTCCTGTGACTACTGTGGAGTAACGAGAGGTCATTGTAACAGAACAGAGAACCGAACTCAACTCTCTTCTGTCAGCACAGAGTTCTGCTTCTCAATATTTCTCACAACTTTTAAAAATGGAGAAGCTATAAAATAATTTTATTAGAAGAAAAGTAATTTTCTTCTGAAATGGAGTAAAGCAAACACATACCCAAGGATCTTAAAAAGTTGTTTTTTTTTTTACAGAATATATGTATGTATGCGTGTGTGTGAGTGTGTGTGTGTGGTGTGTGTGTGTAGTTACAAACACTATTTATAATATAGCTATTATGTTAACTTCATCGCAGTGTCTACAAAGTTGTGGATCCCAGTCTTGGTGCCAAATGCATATAAAAAGCTCAAAAGCTATTATAACTATACCATGCAAATTTATAACCAGAAAACCTTGATAAGTAGACTGCAGCTCTTCTGAGCCCCATAGGGTCTCTGCCTTTGATAATTGGGTACCTCAACTATGCATCAAAAATGTTTTGAATCATTTTTCTCCCAGAAAGAATTAATGTCACAGTTCTCAATAATATAAATTGTACAAGTAAATCTGCCATTGACTGCTTTTGTCCATGTTCATTTGCATTTTGGGGTCCCTCTTCTGCATGTGGAGCTTACTCCTTGAATCGCTGGATACAGAAATAGATACCTGAAGTATTGAAAGGGATAAGGTCTGCGCAAATGTATTTTTTTTTTTAATATGTTAACAATGATAAGGCCACTTACAAGGTTTTTCCCAATCTATTTAACTTTTAGGATCCCTCATTGTTACCCGTGAAAAAAAATTTGTCAGAGAAAAGCCCAAGACCAGAAATCACTGGTTAGTCTCTAGATAAAAAATAAAACCAGAGAGCAGTAGGTGGAAGATGTTGAAGAAAGGTCGGGATGAAAGAGGGAAAAAGGTAAAAACAAAACAAAACAAAAAACTAGTCATTGCTTCTAGTATGAGATTTTGTGGGTTATGTTTTACTTGACAGTGGGTCTTGAACTGTGACAGACCCGCAAATTAAAGATTGTTATGGCAACCAAAGAAAAATCAAGTAGTGGTCAGCCTATGGTGATAGCCCACACCACATGCATCCTTAGGGAAGGTGGTGCCTCTATCAAATGGAGAAAACTGGTGCCAGCCAATAGTGTATTTGACAAGATTTTGGTCATTGGCTTAGGATAGAACAGAGAGGGCGAGGCATATGTGGCATGTTAGGATAAAGTATTAATTTAGCAGTTCTTTCCTGAATATTTTGCTTTTTTTTTTTTTCTCCAAATGCTTAACTTCACTGTGACATCCATTTGCACAACTGTAGTCATTTCCATTTATGGAGGCCTGTGATAGAAATATTGTTTACAAAAAATATATCATCTCTTTTTTTTTCTTTAGAAAGATCTCATCTAAATAGTAAGTTAAGGTTGCGTCTATGAAACCGGTGCACCTTGTCTTGTTTCTACGAGCTTTAAAAAGTCCAAATACTGATGAGGCTGTGGATCAGAAGGAACCAAAAGTGACTGTGTTTGTTGTCGGGTTGCTCTCCTTTGCCTCAAGAGAACGGTCATGGATTACTGGGTGATGCGTGGTGTGTACTGGTCATGTTCCTGCAGCATCCTAGTTAGACTAGGAGTAGTTGGATGTGCTTATGAAATATGTCAGATACAGAAATGAAGGCATGAAGATGTCTCTTGGTTTCTGAAATTAAACAGAAGTGTTTTAAGCATCAATCTTAATTCTAGATAACAGAATGTAATTACATCATGTAAAGGAAAATTATGACATCGCATGCTGCCATGATAGCAAGCATTAAGAAACAAAATCTTGGTAAATATACATATATATGCATATTATGCAAATATATTTTATATTAACATACAATGTTATAAGAGTGATTGATAACATAAAGACAAGGGGGAAAATCATCCTAGATGGTTTTACCTTAGAGTAACAAATAACCTGAGACGTCTATGCTTTCTGCTAGATATCAGGCCTAGAAATCCATACAAGATGTAGAGCACATTTTCAGTGATTGAAATGTCAACTAAACTTGCCAAAACATGCCACTGTATTCCCATATGACAATAAGCTGAATCCACTCCAAGTGAACAAAAAAAAAATATACTGTACATTAAGAGTACTTACAATGAGATGCCATCCATACCTGATGGGTTTTCTAAGGATGAATGTTTCAGACATCAACGTGGGATCTATCTATGTTTAAAACAACAGGTGAGCACACATCAGTAGCTCACCTCATCCACTAAACCATTACAGAAAAAGTGTGCCTGATGAAAGCAAATCCCATCACCAAAAGAGCTGAAAAGTCTTCTAGTAAACAGAAAGGATGTGAAGTGTGTGACTCATTTTAAACTGGAAATACCACTGAATAAATGCTTGAAGATTAACTAAGAGTTTCTTTCTGATTTTCAAACTAAAACATCTAACTTATGATAATAAAAGACACATTTTAGGATGATATTGTGTTTCACGCCCTCATTCTCAAGGCATAATATTTAGACGATGCTTGTCCCTTTCAATTAAAAAAGAAAAAAAAAACAACTATGACTTTCTTTAATATGCATCCTGTGTTAAATTGTCCATAGCTGCAAAATGTATATATGTATGTGTATTTGTTTTACATACACATGGGTACTTATACCTGTGTGTATAAACATATACACATACATCCTCATATACACGTGTATTTTATATATATGCTGAGAAAGTTCACATATATATACAATTGCGTATGTATATATGTGTGTCTGCTTGTGTGTGTCTGTGTGTGTGTACAGGTATAAAAACTTGACAGGCAGAGTAATACTTCACTCAGTGTTAAATGAAGTCTTTGAAAAATCAAGTACAGTCACTCAGTTAACATAGTACAGCCAGTAAACTAAGTTGAAAAGAGAAAAAGTGAATGGAAACACGATCCTGGACCATCTGTCTATGGCATTCACATCGGTTAGATCAGGGATTTTAATTTTGAGCTGTGAAGACCTCCTCCGTAGATGGGTCTTCTTGTGCGGGATGCTTCTGTCCCCCATGTGTCGCCCATGCCCTTCCCTAGGCATGCTCTGTTTCCTGTACTGGATTCCTGAGTTGTCAAAGGGTCTTGCTGAATTCCTGGTATCACCAACACTGCCTGTGACCTCATTCATTTCATTGTGAACCTCCAGTGATGTTAATAGAATATTTCCATGAGCATCCACCTAATTGAAGAAAATGCACATTGTTAGACAGCTAGCATGCCAGTGAATCTAATTTTCATATACAAACAGTGCAGATTATATCATGCAATCACATCACACACATTATGAGAAGTTGCACATTTGTCAAACCCAGGACTGTTTTCATAGAAAATGTCATTTTGGAGGCTTACATACAGTTTAGAGATTTTATTTTCTCAAATTTAAAAAAAAAATTCTCACTCTATGTGAAAAGGTTAAATAATGGGGGCTTTTTCAAATTGAAATTTAAAATTATGGATACAGGTCCTTACTGAAGACAAAATACAAATCCCTTTCAATATGTTATCTCAGTTGTCTTAACTATTTTTCACAAGTGGATGCTGGATGGAAACTATACTCTCCCATTCTTCTTTAGAAATTACCCTGTCCCCTTTTCTGATGGTACAAAAATATTCACATTACTGTGGAGAAACAAATAGTGCTGTGATGAATGGACAGTCCTGATGACTTTGATGGGATAGATACAGACTGCTACCCAAGTATGATCCTTGCCCAATCCTGGTCCTGGCAGGAGGTCTCTTTTTTAAGGACTATATTTAAGATAGATGAAAGTCCCCTCCCACATTGGAGCCAAACTTTAATATAACATTTTATTCTGTGCTAAATACAGCTACAGACCTTTCATGATGTCAATGGTCTATTTGTTTCTATTAAACTTTCATAGAACATGCCTAAGGCTAGGGGTCCCCAGTGGAGTCCATTCTTTCTAAGTGTGACAATAGTCCCCTCTCTGAGTAGTGCCAGACCCTCTCAGGACCATGTGACCTATTCCACAGTCCCCTGGGTCTCACTGTTCTCCAGCATGCTATAGGTTTCCCCACCTATCTTCATTCCTTTGCCTGGAAGGCCATGTTCCTTGTTCTATATTTTACTGTGGAAAGTCTACCCTTTCTTCTAGAGCTAGGTAAGCTCTATAGCTTCTTCCATGAGGTTTTAACAAAATTAGTTATTTTGTGGATGAATAATTTACTGACATATTAATTTGCATGCTCCCTTCTTCTGTATACTCCTTAATTTCATTAAAGACATTATGCTAGATGTGAAGGAGGTGAGGTGGGGAGTGAAGACTCCCAACTAAGAAGAGTCAGGTGACTGTGCAGACCTCTTAGCAGTGCTGAGACCATAGGTAGGGGGACCCCCAGACGCCAAGGTAACCCAGACACAGGAAGGGCTGCAAACATCCAAGGGCCACTCAGGCTCTGGCACAAAGGTGCTAAAATAGACTCTATGATATCTACCCTATGGTTTGGAAGTACAATTCAATTATGGTTAGGGAAGAAGAGGTGTGGTCATCAGGATATCACCCCCTTATTCTCCAGACCTGTGAGCATGTTACTTTACATGTAGAAAGGATATTGCAAACATTATTTAAGGCTATGAACTTTACAATACGAAGATTAGCCTGGATTATTTAGGTGGGCCCAATCTAATCACATGAGCCCTTAAAAGTAGAGGATTTTCTCCCGTTGGAAGCAAGAGGGAAAGAGATATGCAGCAGAAGGTGAGAGCAGAGGGATCTACAGTGGGAGAAGAGTTGGATTTGCTATTGATAGAGGGCACTTCAGGGAAAGCAAAGACTGGCCCCAGCTGATAGCCAGGAGACAACAGAGGCCTCAGTTCTGCTACCACAAGAAACTATGATCAACAACGTTCATGAGTCTGAGGATAGATCTATTCCCAGAATCTCCAGAAGGGAATATAGCCCCACAGACATCCTGATTTCAACATCATGAGACTCTCAGCAGAGAACCTGGCTGAAGCCCCACTGAACCTGGACTTCTGACCAACAGAACTAGGTGCTGTTTTAAGTGACATGTTTTTGGTAATTTTTTGTGGTAGCAATCAAAGCTACTACAGAAGGGAGAAGGGAAGATTTCAGAGGAGAAATGCATTTGAGTTGGGCCTCAAATAATGAGTAGATATTTTCCAGGCAAAAGGCATAAAAAAACCATCACAAGCAAAGGCTTGAGGCATGACTAAAGTGTTTTGAGAAAAGCAAACTAGTTAAATTTGACTCCCATCTTGGTATGAATGGGTCCTGGCACATGATAAGCTCTTGGTTGATTGGATGATGGTCATTCTCATTACTGTCATATAAGGAAACATACCCATTGATCAACAAGAATACACACTAGAGTCAAGCCATTAAGGGTTTCTACATGTTGCATTAAAGAATTTCAACTTTATCTTCCAGGTAATAAAAAGTGATTTCTAGGTGGAAAAGTGACATATTTCTGAACTGCAATTAGCTTCAGGGTAAAGAGTAAAAGACACATTTGAGAAGAGAAAGTAAGGAGATGGACCACTGTTGGAGTGCACCACACTCTTTTGTTTCCTTTAGGGCAGCCTGAAGGAGAAATGCCAAGAGACTGTGAGTAACGCTGTCCTCATGCCATTGCAACAAACCTGAGCACTCCTCTCAATATGTGCTGGGTCCACACAGCAGTGGCGCTCTGCCATTGCCACTCATTTCTTTATTTACACAGTTAAGAAGGAAGAAAAAGAGTGGAGAGAGAGTTGCCTGCCACCCTGTTCCCACCTGGCCTCTTGGCCCTTCTTGAAGTCCCTACAGAAATGCTCATACTGCCCATACAGGGTGTAGGGGGCAGCAGCAATGGGCATGTATTAGTCTGGGCTGTGCTCAGTTTTCCTCAATGATGCTGCCTCTGAACTGTAGGGTGAGCAATGTCACAGTCAGGAGGGACCATGAAGACCTATGGTTTCCTTAGAATGTAAGACAGCTAGCTTGGGGGTGCTTGGAGATGCAAACGGGCCAAGAAAACAACACAGGTACTGAGGAGAAAGTCTTTTGAGGAGATCTGTTCTTGGAGAGAGGGACAGAACACTGACAGAACATTATAGTTCTGTTTTTTTTTTTTTTTTTTAATCCAGTAGAGGGAAATTTTTGAATAAGGTTTGTATCTCAAAAGTACTAGGAATGTTAGACCTTTGGAGGAGTTTGGAACATGTGTTTCTGTTCTTGTTGTAATCTTGCCCTGGAATGGTTAGCAGTAAAACCCTTACACAAAAAAAGTCTGTTTGCTTGTCTTTAGGATCAGTGAAGCCTCCAGTGTTTTGGGAGACAGTCTCTCACTGGAGGACGAGGATGTGGTAGGTGAATCCCAAGAGGCATATTAAGATATGACTGAAATAGGAACGGCAACAAAGGAAAGTCCAGTGGGTAGCAGCATGTCTTCTATGCAAGTAGTCACACTATCTCTAAGAAAGAGGTGATTGGAACCTACATAGGAACCTATGGATAGCTAGATCAAAAATCAGCAGAGAGGAAAGTGCCATGGAGTCAGCTGAGCTAGCCTTTATACAAGAGTTTCAAAGAAAAGGTTTCCTTTTTCTAGAGGAAAGAGACCTTTTAGTAATCTTTATCTTTCTCCAGTACCTTCCATCATGCTTTAGGCTACCCAGGTGAGAACAGGATGGTGAATGAACTGACTGGGGTGTCTTTTTCTAGAGAGGGAGTCAATCAGGGTGATCTTGTTATTTCAGGGCCTTTTACAACTGCACTGGATAGGTGTGATACCCTACCTGACTTTGAATCATGACAGAAAATATATTAAGTTATCATTTAAACAGATTTAACAAACTGAGATTATTTATCAAGTTAGCTCAATTAGAGTTTGTTTAACTACCCAAAATTTTAAATAGATCTTCTTACATAGTAAGCTGATGTATTCAAAACAAAATTTATCTAAAGTTGAGTCACAGAATAACCAAAGGTGGAAGATGCTTCCCTTTTTAAAAATATTCATGTAGAAATTATACTTTTTTATAATAATAAATGATTTAGTATATATTAACTAGAATCTCAGAGGGTTGAAATTATTTTCCTAAAGGTATGAAAAACAGAAAACATTATTTAACTCTAAGAGATATTCTTTCCATTTTACATAATATTTTAAATACAACAAAACCATGAGATAAAAAGCCCAGTGGTCTACTTAGGAAGGTGGATGCCTCACTGGAGAAATGCACATGAAGAGTTCAAACTCTTGGGATTATTCATGTAAAAATCTACCATATATCTTCTCTGTACCATACTCTGTGCTGAGATATCCTAATAGGTGGATAAGAAAATATCCTTACATTTAATGGGTCTAGCAGGTGAAAGTCTCAAATAATCAACAAGCATATTTTAAAAGAGTACTATATAATGAACTTTAAATGCATTTTTAAATAGATGCCAGTCTCTTTTTAGTTATAAAAAATGCCATATGAAAAGCTCCTTTTATCAAAATCTAGGAGATTATAAATAATGACTTTGTAGAATGAAATACCAAATAAAGACAAATCTTTTCTTAAAGATGCTAATTCTAATAAATATTGATGGCTCTAATGACTCAGCTTTACCTGGTTTTAAAAAGCTGCATTTATGAACCTTCTCCTCTCCTCACATTAGAAAAGTGAAAAAGCACATTAAACCAAATTGATGACAAATACCACCCATTCATGGACACGCATTCCATGAGCATTCACTATGTCTGAGCCATGGTGTGCATATTTTGGTAGATGCAAAGAATCAAATGCTGTTTAGCAGAGAAGGCATTGTGGCCACATGAAATGGGACATTCCATTTCACAAGGACAGAGCATGTGCTGTGGAAATTGGGAGAACAGGGACAAGACCAACTTCTTGAAGAGGGGAGTGATGGAGACAGGATGAAAACAAGTAGTAGAAAAAAGAATCAGGTACAATGTCATGGAGAAGAGCATTTAGCTTTGGTCGTGAAAGAGGGGAAGATGTGGATGAAGAAGAAAGGGATTCTGGAAAGAGAGAATCCAAGGCAAATAGATAGTAATGTACACAGTGATTTGGGGAGGCACCAGAGAGAGTGGAGAAAACATGAGAAGTAAGTTCAACTGAATGTTGAGTTGATTTTTCAAGATTTAATGACAAATTTATATGAATTGATATCCTGTCTTTTCAAGTCCCTTGTGACCAGTCCTGTGCATTTGTGAAAGGACTTCATGAGGTCAGAGATCTAAGCTTGTGCCCTTGACTCTAGTGAAGAAAACCTACTTTGAAGGAAGCCAAACCCAGTGTCATCAATAATTTACAAAATTAGAGTGCTCTTGAGTGCTTTGAACAATTATGGCTGCCTTGCAACTGTTTCAGGGCACAGCTCATATGAGGTATGTCTCAAGAATCGATACTATTTTTTTATTATTTCTCTTTCAGAGTGAGTGAACACTTGTCATAGAAACAATAATGTTGAAAGTAACTTGGACATACATCGAATAATAAGAGGTTAGTGTAAATTAATTTGGATGCTTTTCACTTATAGTTTTATATTTACATAGTTTTCATTTATAAGTGAGCCAATGTGTAGAACATTTCCAATAAAATTATTAGAAGACTTTTTTTTCTGAAAGAATTAAAGGGTTATTAAAATGTGTTAAATCTTAGAAACCAAACATTTAAAACAAAAAGGCCCCAAAAAGATGCTAATGTTTTCTTATCATCTAAAATTTAAGTCTAAAAACAGGTGGAAGTGGTTGTGTGTGAAACACAAGACTGAAATGTCCTGTCTTGAGTGACAGATGAATCACTTGAATTTTTTAAAGCATTTCATGACTTCTCCATATTTTGAAGAGTTTGGTATATACTATAATTAGGATCATTAATCTCAATGTAGTTTTTCTTCCTGCTCTATAACCTTGACAGGCAGAAATATTCAAAGGTGAAAAACATCTCATGCAGAATATATCACAGAGGAATTTTCATTTTTTTCTAGAATCTGTCACCAGATTGGGATATTATTGATATTCATTCTCTAATTACCTTCATGCTTTTATATAAGCAAAATACTGCAATTTTAGAAAAATTAAAAAATGTATTTGTCATGTGAGGAAAGAACTCTTACTCTGTAGTAAGAGAAATTATGCCAAGTCTACAGCTCTGATTACTTGGCAGGAATTATGACTTTCTGCCACGTCATGAAATTCAAATACCAATTGGTCAACTTGTAAAATATCCAAGGCCAGTAACCATAATACATGCATCACAACCAAAGACTAACTCTTAAGTATAGAAACAATTCAGGAAAGGAAAGAGGTTAAGCACAAATAAATTAAGATCACAATTTACATTGCACCATTGATCTGAGGAGAAACTTAGTGAATACATGAACATTTTGAGCATTCATGAATCAACCACTAAGTTAAAATAGTGTACAACCACAGAATATAAGGAAAATCTACTCATGGTTTATATTAAGGTCAAAACACCATTTTCCCAAAGATCGTCATTGGTGACACAGATCCCTCCTTGGTGGCCTGTAGAAGACAGGTGGCACTTTCCTCTCATCCCTTATAAGACAGAAAGACAATGGCAATGCAAGTTCCTGTGGTCAGCCCAGTGTCCTCTTTCAGTCCAAGGAAAGGTACAGCCTTCTGAGCCTTAGGACTCCCATTTTTAATACAGAGGGGGATGGGCATGGAGGAGGACACTTGTGGGGATGAGCACTGAGTGTTATGTGGAAACTAATTTGACAATAAACTATTTGTAAAAAAAAAAAAAAGAAAAAAAAGAAACAGTCCTGAAAAATATTACTGAAAGTGAATAAGTGAATAATTATAATTACAAAGAACTCTTGAAAGTGTTGGCCAGTGTGTAGTTGTATTTCTGTTTTGCACAAAGTTTGTGATTCTTTTTTTACTTTCCCTTAACTCATCCACATCACATGATATAGCTTTTTGGGAGATTCATTCCATCTAAAAGTTATCACTAAATTCTTCTATGTGGTCAGCAATAATTTTTAATGTCTATCTTTAGAACATGAAATATGCATTTAAAGCTAGTACCTGTGCATTTGTATGTCAACTTCAAACCTTAACAGCTGATCTACAATTGTGGATTTTTAAAAATATGAACATGTAAAGACTTTTAAAAAGCTGCTAGGAAAACAAAGAAATTTTTAGAAAACAGTAACAAGTGGCCTTATGAATAAAATAAAATTTTCCTCTGCAACTGATTTATAATATAATACACAATATATAACATATATTTTTTTACATTCTGCTACTTCTCTCTGTGGATGTTAGAGGTGTTTTTTGTTTTAAATTTTAAGCTTCACACTCAAAAAGGTATTTCTGTAGCACAACAGTTTGACAGGTTGGTTTGTTCTTAACTATCTCGTGTAGAAGAAAGGAAACAAATTTATAATCTGTTTAAATTATGAGGGAATTTGGAAAACAGCATGGTGTGTGTATGCGTGTCTGTATATCTGTGTGATGGAAACAATAATGATGTGATGAATTCCAGTTTCCTTGGAAACAGCATGACCAAAGCATATTGTGTATTCATAGTAGGATGCAGACTTATTTAGAAACATAACAGGGTGTTACTAAGTATATTTTCCAGTAAGAAGTTCAGGATAATTTTGCTTGTGGAAGCCTGATTTTTTTTTTTCACAGATCCTGGGTTTCTCTGACCAACTCTATTTATGTTTTTGCTGAAATGATGGGAGTCATTTACATTCATTTAACTGCATCTATTCATTCATGAATGTTTGTGAACCTATTCTGGGCCACCAGTGGGCTATGGACACAGCAAATACTCCAAGGAGCTGCTGTGTTCCTCTGAGGAACAGACCCATAATGCTCTAAGAGCCTGGGAAAAAGCAAGGAAATACCACTGGCTTGAGAAATAACCAAGTTTAGCAAGAAGAATTAGATAATAAAGAAATGCAGAGAAGCCCAGCATGTAAACAAGGAGAAATATATTTTTGAGAACTTGATGGAATGCAAGAGGTAGAAAGATAAAGACAAAAAATATATAGAAATGATAATGCACTTTCTTCAAAGTGCTATTTATAATTTCAATGACATATTGTTTTTATTAAAAAATAAACTGAAATGACATGTAATTGCAAAGTTACTTTGTAACTGGAAGAATGTAAAGACATTAAGCTGAGTTGGATGAGGTGGACCTAATTTATGGTCTCTCTTGGAGTGTACTGCCCAAGGGCTTCCTAAAGTAATGTGCCCTCCTTACACTTTACCCAGATAGCTACTGCTATCTTGGTTTGCCAGGCTCTGGCTTTTGTGAACACACTGACAGGGGAAGACCAGTGAAGATCGATGAGAGTCCTTGGAAGAGCATGGCTCCTGCCTAACGCTAAGGACCTTGAGCTAAGATCTATGCCAGACAGAGATGAGCGAGTGGTCTGCCCACACTATAAAAGTACAGTGACATGATGGATAATCAAATCTGTAATTTTATCACTAAAGGAATATTGCAACATTTAGGAAAAATGCTACTGCTTGTCAGGTTCAGGCTAATACCCCACATGGTATTCACATGTTCTGTTCTTTTCATATGCAGTGAGAAGCTTATGGCTTCTCTAGCTTCTTTACTAATTTTGGTTTTATTTAAAACTCAGTGACTTGCAGGAGGCAACGTTTCAGGTTATAAATAACAACCCACACAATACTTACTTCATGGTCATGTAAGTAACTGTAGTGACTGATGACTGATGACAGGTTATAAATAACCCACACAATTACTACTTAAGGGTCATGTAAGTGACTGTAGTGGTAGGGAGCAAGGTGGGTCTGTGTAAGGCATGATGGGTGAGTGGTCAAGCTGGTGGAGGGCCTACCCGGTTGCTTTCACTCTTGGAACGGTCATTCTTCGCCTTGGCTGTCTTTTCTGCAAGTTTCTTCTGCCTTTGAGGGCCTCTTCCAAAGAAAATGTAGTTGACAAAGGCATACTCCAGAAGGGCCAGAAACACAAAGACAAAGCAGCCCATGAGGTACATGTCAATGGCTTTGACGTATGGGATTTTGGGCAATGTCTCCCGAAGATGTGTGTTGATGGTTGTCATTGTCAGCACAGTTGTGATCCCTACAAAAGAAACAGAAGGTGAGAGGTTGTAACTTTGCCGCTCCATTCCTGACTTTTCACTTTTGTATTTTTTCAAACAGTATGAAATAGTTGTAGATATTAGATTGAATACTATTGGATGATCAGAAAGCAAACGAGCATGAAACGTGTCATATGGGCAGCAGATCAGGTCAGGAAGCAGACACCTCTACTCCCTCGTGGGGCACCACCCCATGGTTCTTGGCCCATAGAGAGAAGGAATTCAGTATACAGATAAATGTGCAGTCAGCAAAAGGAGAATGTGCTTTTTAGGAAAGTTGGAAGAAAAGAAAATAAAACCAGAAGTTAACATAAAATGCTCAGTGTCTGGGTAAGAAACTTCCAAGAAGAATGAATGATGACAAATCAAGGATGAGAGTCATTTATGGCCATTAGTGATGGCTCAGGGAGCCTACCTGTCAGAAGAAAATAATTCTTAATACAATGCACTATAAAGAAAAAAGGGAATGGGGCAATGATTTTTAAAACTGTTAATGGACGTGATCCAGTCCTGACCTTAAAAAGAAAGGAGTATTTCAGGGAAGCTACTGAGGGCAGATTATCTAAGTCATTTCCTCCTCAACTAAGAGTCTATATATAAGCTTCTCAGAACATGCTTGGTGAAGTCAAGAGCTAATGATTTTACTCAAACTATGGAATCTTGCCATACTCTGGTCCAAGACCAGATCCCCCCTCCCCCATTTTTATGTCATTATGTTGAATTCTCTACATAGCAGTGTGTGAATGATCTCATTGTTTCCCTAACAGAGTTAAGTCTAGTCTCCAAAAACATATAAGGACCATATTTTGCAATTCTCCCATAGCAATAGACATTTTTCCCCTCTACAAAAAGTTCATATTGGATAGTTTGAAGCCATAGAGAGGAGAGGATGAGTCAGTTAGTGACATAACCAGAGTTTGTTGAACAGAGTGAAGCCATACTTGCAGGAAAGATATGGATTGCTCGCTTCTTAGTAGGACAGTAACTACTACAGCTGACTTGCTCTCTCTTAAAATATTAAGAAGCCTCAAGGAAGCAAGATAGCTCCAGAGGGTGCTCTTTTCTATCTATTTAATTGGTGCCACTGAATGTGATTATCCTTGTGTCTTCTAGTATCCAATGGAAACACTTCTTCATTGCTATGTCATGCTTTCCCTCAAAAAGGAGGCTTTTGAAGTAGAGCTTTAGTCACAGTCCTTCAGCCACAGTAGCCTGAAAAACGATGTCACTGAGGCCAGGGGACAGTGTAGGCCAGAGAAGTCAGTGTTCCCAAGATACACAGCAGAGCCCAGACCACCTCTACATATGATTCTGCCCAAAGGCATCTAAGCCTGCAGATCCTCACCCAACTTGCCAGTGGAGGATTTGTATTTATTAAGCATCTTAGTTTGATACCCTCTAGATTTCCATCCTATCATTGTAGGTAGGCATCCTCATCCTGTGCGTCCCACAGAGATCCCCCTGACCAAATATCTCCACTTGCTCACGACCATCTGGAAGGCAGGGAATAAAGCCTGGTCTTCTGTCACTAGCATGTGCTTTCCTTCCACCCGTCTCTAAACTGCTATTAAAAGTAGAGGAGGGAATTAAGGCATTGAGAAACTATTTTTATGTATAACTGCAAACCATGATAACTTATGTAATACATGGAAATTGAATATGTCGGAATATTTTAAGATTACCTTTTAAAGTACCATTCATGTGTACCTAGGGACTTTTAAAATTTGAAAATGGAATCATTACAGTTTACAAATAAATGTGAAAATACCATGCAAACTCTCTGAAATTAGGTGTTCTCACCATCATTAAAAAATTTTGTAATGTTGCTGCCACAACTTTTTTCCTTTTCAAATATATTTGGAAAATTTGAATGCTTTGGTTTAGTCATTGCTTTGACTCTCCAGTTAACTATTTTGAATGGACATGTATGACCCCGGCTTCAGTGGATGTCTTGGGAAATGGACTGAAAGAACACAGAAAGAGCCAGAACATGTCACAGGCACTCAGCCTGATAAAAGCAGCCCTTGAGAAAATGGAAGACAACCCTGGCTCAGCCGATTAGCTCAGGTTCAAGGAGTCCCTTAACAGTATGGTTTGGAGGTCAGTGCTCTGTGTGGGCTCTGATTAGCTCTTAGCTTAAAAGGCCAATGCGTTTACTAATTCTTTGTATCATTTTACTTCCTATCTATATATTGTGGATGATAGTGGACTGTAGGGATTCACAGACTGGGATGATACAGCCACATGGCCCCATAAGCCTACTCTGTCACTTCCCAGCAACGTGACCTGAGCCTTGATGGATCCGCACCATTGTTTAGAACTGTTGTGAGATCTAAATGCAATGACTGAAAACCATTGGTGATGTTAATAAACGGTAACTGGCATTGTTAATACTAACAAGAACAAATAGTAATATTTATTATTACCATTACAGGAAAAAAAATTATTCAGTAGTTTCTGGTTTTCTGGCAAGAAACACAAGGCCACAGCCTTTGTTTGAACTTCTGTCCTTAAGGAGACCCATACAACTGCAGTACAGGGGATGACTAAATGTTCTTTCCATGTTCTTTTACATTTATCAAACTATTCAGTCTTTACACTAATTGTTAGCTTCAAATTATTTCTTATTTGGATTATGCTAATAAAATATTATACTTGAAAAACTGCATTTATAAAGACGACTATGAAATAAAAACATAATTTGCATCATTTAATCAAAAGATACTTTATTTTTCTTCTTTGTGATAAAAATAATGTGGCCTAAATTAGTTTAGTATAAAGTTTTACTTTTAAAAGGACCAGTACTATGATTCACTGATAAGTGGACTTCAGGGTTTTTGAGGAAGACCATTTGATTACAACTCCCAAATTTGCAGTCTGATGGCTTGTAACGCTAACAGTTCAACAGATCTGACAGTCAGCACCTGGTTAGCAGAAACATAGAATCTTGAAGCATACAGAGCAGCAGTGCAACAGTTTTCTGAAAGAACAGCTTTTCCCTTCTCAATAGAGAAACAACCCCAGACAACTGTAGGTCCATGAGTCCTGAGCCAGAGAAGGTGCTCCATGGATATCTTTGCTGAACACCCCTTTACACAGACCTGTACCTCTAATACCTCACTTAGAAATGAAATACATTCATCATGGTGCAGCCATTCAGGCTGCAAGCAACACCACTCAAGGCATTTCAAATGGTGTGGTACAGGTGGAACCAGGCAGGAAGAGGATTTCTCCAATTAAATTCCCCAAACCATGGCCATATCTTCTTAAAGAAGCACAGAGCACTTTAGTATTTTAATGATTTTGAGGGATCCCTCAATAATAATTAATAATTCTTGATTAGCCTTGTTTTTCTTTTTAAACTTTGTTTTTTACAAGGTTTACAAAATATTTACAAAATAACGCTCATGTGTATTGTCTAGTGACACTGTAGGAATCATCTGTAGCACTTAAGAGAGAAAACTCTGGAGTCAGACTAACTGGATTAAAATCTTTGTTCTGATACTTAATATTATATGGCTTTGTACAAGTTGTATAGCTTCTCTATACCTAATTTTCCTGCTCTGTAAAATGGGAACAATAACATTGCTTATTGTGCTATGGATGTTCTGCAGAACAGATAAGATAATCCCATTAGTGTCCTTGCAAAGAACCTGGCACCTGAGTACTTGGTTAACTTTGGTCTTGATTTTTGTGTTATTATTCAGTGTTCATGACCTTATGATATACTTTTTAAGTTATTGAAGGTCACCAGGTGACACATCTCAATCCTTGCAGACTCAGGCTCAGAGACCCTGTTCCATGTAGGCAGAAGGTGGAAGAGAGGGAGTGAACATACTGGTATCCTACTTTGAGATCTGGACCTGTTGGGCTTATACCTGCTCAGATGGTGTGGCCTTAAGGTCACAGTTGTCTTCTAGGCCTTCTGGCCTGAGGTTCACCCTGACACTGGCAAATGCCCATTCACTTCCGTCTCTATGCTCACATCTGCCTTCTAGACTTGTGACATCAGTCAGAACCTGGCATTCCTCTAGTGGTGAAGCCTTAACAACTCTGGGCAGACCATTCATTTGTCTTAGCAAAGCCACAACAGCAGTTGGTTGGGCATCTGACTTCAGCTCAGGTCATGATCTCACGGTTTGTGGGTTCAAGACCTGCATTGGGTCTGTGCTGACAACTCAGAGCCTGCTTCTGATCCCGTGTTTCCCTCTTTCTCTCTGCCCCTCTCCCACTCATGCTGTTTCTGTCTCAATAATAAATAAACATTAAAAATTTTTTTAAAAAGCCACAACATGATGGTTTAGGTTTATAATCATAATGCTGTGTTGTTAGAAAAGGTGGAATCTAGTTTCACATACTGTAATAAGATTGGGTTGACTACAACTCACTTCAGAGAGATTATCTGTTTAATATTGTGGAATATTTACAAAAATTAAATTGTAAAGTGTTTTTACAATTAAGGAGCTATAGAATTTGCACCTCACTCCTATTGATGTCAGATAATTACAGTTCTTTGGTACTCATATTTCTCTAGTTATTTCAATAATGACAAATTCTCCAAGGCTGATTCACTGTGAAACTCATGAACCTTCAGCTTCAGATTTCCACTTGCATAAGCCTCTTCCAGGCTTGGGGAAGGGTCCTGGATATTTTATATTTGTCTATTTCATATTCTTTTTCTTAAAGAAAGACCTGAAAATGTATAAGCTAGCAGACATGCAAAATTTAGATCTAACCTTCCAAATTTATTGCAGGTCTGGCTTTTTCCAGGTGAAAAGAAGAGAAAACACTATAACAAAGAGTAATCTAATAACATTTTTAAAAAGGCAGAAAGCTACAGAAAAGACTGATGCTACAGGGTAACCTCTGCTGCTGTAGAAAATTCCTACAGGTTTTGGTTTTAGGGATTTTTTTTCATCATGCCTATCAAAAATACATAACACTTAATAGAGCACTTTTAGTTTTTTGATAGTTTCTACTTCTCAAAGTGTTTTTTTTTAATTCACCAAACACCTTTAGGAATAGCTACCTGATTTCCTATGTATTAATCTATTCATGATATAACTGTAAGTCACCTATCTGTCATTCTAAACCAGACATCTACATACACACACATACACACATTTTCCCAGGGGAAAAAGATGTCAATTAACTTGAAATTCTGGGAAAAGATGGTAAACAAAAACAGGAGGAAAGAGGGATAACTGGAGCCCTGAAATCTTATGGTTCTCTGTAAGCTAATTTACCAGCAAATGCATTGATAATTATTTTCCATCAATTTGTAAAAGTGTTGTTGATAATTTTACTTTCAGGAATTTAATTCAATCCTATCAGAGAAGGGATGGGCTGAATAATTGCTCTTCAGCCCTATACTCATCTAAAATGTGTTTAAATGATAAATAAACAAACAAACAAATATATAATATATATACTATTCTTTTAATAATCTAAAAATACACATATTATAGGAACCTATAAAATATCTTGTACATCAGCTAACAATCCAATTGCCAAATGACCAGTGGCCAGCACAGATCACTAGAGCTCTTGAGAATCACTCAGAATCTAATCACATATTTTAATGCTCATCAAATTGTGTAATTCCAATTACATGCTATAATATTTGACTATTTTTATGACTTAAAAAAGATGAATCCCCAATTAATCAAGTCTTTCTGGGCCACAGAACAATTTTGAACAGGGGATGTTAATCCTTGCTTTAAAATTAGTGTCAAAAATAGTTTTATTATGCAAATATTCGACAAGCATATTTTCCCTTTCATGGGCATGAAAATTCATATTTGAGCCTTATAATTAAATTAACACATCAAGGCAATCATGCCTGAAATTATTATTTCAAGATTAAAATAACTGTATGGGCAAGACTAGTGTCATGATGTCAAAAAATTGTAGTTGAACTATAGCCTTTGAACTTCCTTAATACTGTAATGACATGGTTACTTTACATTTTAGATATCATTTAAAAATAGCACATACCGAGGGCAACTCTAGCTGCAGATGCATCATAATTGATCCAGAAGGACACCCATGAGAGAATCGTAATTAGTATAGAGGGCATGTAAGTCTGGAGAATGAAGTATCCAATGTTTCTCTTCAACCGAAAGCTCAGTGAGAGCCGAGGATAGGCACCTATGATAAACAGACAAAGATTACACTGAAGAAAAGACATAACAGACAAAAAAGTTGGCTTTGACCTCTATTGGCCAACAGCATGCATTTGAAAAGCCTATGAACTGAGGGGTTTAATTGTATTTTATAGAAGAATTGGGAGGGGAGTGCATTTCAGCCTCTAAGAGAATGATGAGGATACTCTTCTAAAGCTAAGTGTTCAGCTGAGAACTATCCTTGGGAAAACTTTGGGGAAATTTTTAGCTTAGAATTCAGAATCATGCCAAGTATCTTGTTTATTATTTAATTAATGGCTGTTCCCTTCCTCTCCATTGTAAATAAGGGAAATTTTTCTCAGGTTTTATTGAAATGTCTTTTACCAGTTGTCCTTTCAGCCCATCTAGAGCAACACTGTGCATAGACATTGAATTACTGACCCTCAACTGAGGAAGCTCAGGGGTACTCTTGAGTGTTGGAGAGGCAGAGATGCAGGTCCAGTTTTACAGAAGGTGGCAGTATACACTGCAATGGTCTACTCTGACCACAGACAAGGCATTAAGGAGACGCTTAAAGAAGCACCTTGCCTCAGTGCTAATCTGATGTGTGCACCCCACTTAGTATACCTTTGGAACCCCACCATTACAGAATAAGAAAATAGTCCACTGATTATGCCACATTTAGTTTTATATTTGCCATCTTTATTTTATTTTGTTTTTCTTGGAGAAAACCAAGGGTAGACTCCATTTCCTTCTATCCACTTCAACCATCCACTTTATCAGTTCCAAATCTCCCTGATCTAGATTCTAACAAAGCTGCTGGAAGGTCAACCAGTGACAACCCAATGACCTTCTCTAATAATCAAGTTCCTTGCCTTTTTCCTTCCCACCCTCACTGATGGATGGTGCTCCTTTCCTGAGATTGCTGTACCTTGTTTCTCTTGACCTCCTTCTATTCTAAGATTGACAAGCTCCTATTCTACCACACTCAAATTTTCCAGACTTTATTCCATGTCTTCTTCAGTTTTTGTCCCTATATTCTTTTTTTTTTTTTTTTTTTTTTTTTTTTTAAGGGATTAAGATGGCCAAATGTCTCGAATTTATTTTAGGCCACATGTAAATGAGGTAGAACTTCTATTCTTTTTATTTTTGTTTTGTTTTATTTTTTTCTTAGTTTATTGTCAAGTTGGTTTCCATATAACACCCAATGCTCATCCCCACAAGTGCCCTCCTCTATGCCCATCACCACCCCCTTCCCCTCTCCCCCACCTCCACCAGCCCTCAGTTTGTTCTCAGCATTCAAGAGTCTCTCATGGTTTGCTTCCCTCTCTCTCTCCAACTATTTTCCCCTCCTCCTCCCCCATGGTCCTCCTTTAAGTTCCTCCTAATCCATGTATATGTGCAAACATATGGTATCTATCCTTCTCTGCCTGACTTATTTCGCTCAGCATAACACCCTCAAGTTCCATCCAGGTTGCTACACATGGCCAGATTTCATTCTTTCTCATTGCTATGTAGTATTCCATTGTATAGATGAACTACATTTTCTTGATCCATTCGTCAGTTGACAGACACTTAGGCTCTTTCCATGTTTTGGCTATTGGTGAGAGTGCTGCATTGGGGTACATGTGCCCTTATGCATCAGCACTCCTGTGTCCCTTGGGTAAATTCCCAACAATGCTATTGCTGGGTCATAGGGGAGTTCTATTGTTAATGTTTTGAGGAACCTCCACACTGTTTTCCAGAGGGGCTGCACCAGTATACATTCTTGAGCAGTCTGACTCACTCATATGACTATTAGTTTTATGTTGAAAATGAAAGATATTTATTTCCAGGCTCCTACTTTGGCATCAACCACATTTTCATCCAGAATTATAAATGAGAGGGGCGCCTGGGTGGCTTAGTCGGTTAAGCGTCCGACTTTCGCTTAGGTCATGATCTCACGTTCATGGGTTTGAGCCCCGCGTCGGGCTCTGTGCTGACTGCCAGCTCGGAGCCTGGAGCCTGTTTTAGTCTGTGACTCCCTCTCTCTGACCCTCCCCTGCTCACGCTGTCTCTCTCCCTCTCCTAGAAATAATAAATAAAAAAAAATGTTTAAAAAAAAAAAAAAATAAATGAGAAAAGAGGGAAAAGGAGATTTAGCACTTAAAGGCTGAGAATGTGGGAAATTTCCTCTGGTCATGTGTGTGTGTGTGTGTGTGTGTGTGTGTGTGTGTATGTGTGTGTTTATAATTTCTGTTACATAGCTCTGATCAAATGCATACATAATACTCTCATCAGAGCATAAACATTTTCATACTTATTTAAAACTATTTGTAAACACAATTTAAAAATCTTCCCAATTTTCCTTCAAATACATACATACAAATTTAGATTATTTCCATTTTTACAAAACTATAAATAATATTCTTTTAAAAAATTTTTATGTTTTATTTATTTTTGAGAGAGAGAGATCACGAGTGGGAGAAGGCCAGAGAGAGAGAATCGGAAAAAGGTTCCAGGCTCTGAGTGTCAGCACAAAGCCAGATGCGGAGCTCGAACCCACGAGCTGTGAGATCATGATCTGAGCTGAAGTCAGACGCTTAAACGACTGAGTCAGCCAGGTGCCCTGAAAACTATAAATAATATTCTTAAGAATCTTTCAGTAGAGTCCTTTTGCTGTATTTGATATATTTCCTTAGGATGAATATGCCAAGACAGGAATTCCTAGGTCACTGTTTAGGCTTTTGATACTTACTGCCAAATAACTGTGCCAAAAAATCATACCACTGTACACGTTATCTTATAGAACTGCCTATCTCACCTTGTAACCACGACAATGCTTCAAAACATTTCTTAAAAATAACTTTTGCTAATTTCTTTGGGAAAATTTTGTCCTTTCCAATTACTCTCCTTAATTTCATACTTCTTAAATGTTTGTTTTTCTTCTGTATTAAACTCATAAATGATCTGATTATACTATATTCACTTTTCTCATTTTTTTGTTCCATTTATTTATTTTTTTAACCTATTTATTTAAGTTCTTTTGACACTAATCCTTATTTGTACTCTCTGCAAGCATTTCTTCAGTTGTTTGTTTTAAAATATGTAATGGGTTATTTTTAAAACTTGATTTTAGTCTTAGATAAGTTCACAATAGAAATTTACCCACAAACATATTTTGAAGGTTGATAATTATTTCAGTGTTTAATATAAAGCATACATGCACATTGATTTTTGTTCCATAAGCAAACAATCCTCCCAACACCATCAATGGAATAAAGCTTCCCTTGACATAGATTTGATATACTCTATTATTGTTTTACATTACGTTTTATGTGTATGTGGATCCTTGATATGATGTGACATTGAACTGGGTCAAAGTCTCATTGTAGGCCTTGCCATCTCTAGATGCCCAGCCTTGTGCTCCATCCACACATTCCTGAAGTACAGTATGGACACTCGCTCTCAACCCATATCCAAAATCTTTTATGGCTCACTGCTTCCTATAAAGGCTCAAATATCATTTGGGAATTTTGTTTTCTCTACAATGTTTTCCTAAATTTACTCCAGTTTTATTTTCCACTATATCTTTTCATTAAGCATACCATTTTCTAGCTTAAAGAATGTCCTCACTACCTAAAAATAATTGTCCATATTTCCTACTTTAGTTGATTCACCCCCACTCCTTCCTCCTTATGGAATGTCTTTCCTTACCCACACTCCAAATCCTTGATCAAATGTCACATCCTCCATTAATCTTTTCTTCTTCTTTCCCCTAAGTGTTAAGTGATTACCTTTTTGAGTTATTTTCTTTTCAATACAATTATTATTATTTAACAAGGCAGGATCTTCCTTAGTAAGTTGTATAGTCCCGAAGGCAGAGTTTGTGGAGTGATGTATTTTTAATATAATACGATGCCTAGGTAAATGTCTAAACTATCATAGGTTATCAATAAATATATCTGTATGCATAAAAATGGGAGTATTTGGTATCTTTATGTGACTCTCAGCACGTGTAATATTCAAAACGTTCAACATCTTTATTGAATCTGTTTGAAATCCCATAGCAACTTTAATATCTTTATTGAAGTAACTTCATTGTTGGATCTTAGCTTGAAATTCCATGGCAATCTCAGGCTTTGCTTATCACTTGCATTTTGTGTTCTTGTTTCAGTTATGTGTCACTCTATCCACTATACTTGGAATGGTTTCTGTTTCATCAGGATAGGTTGGCTTATGTTGCAGTAACAAAAAGCACACCGATCTCTGTAGTTTACAAAAAATATTTTTCTTTCCTTGTGCTACATATTCACTTAGCTTTCTGTATCTGGGACACTGCTGGACATTGTGGTAGAAGTGCCACACATATTCCTTTCACACTTCCTTGTATAGAGCAAGTCCTACTGTCAACCATTTTGTCATTTTGTCTTTTCCCAGGATAGAGCAGCAAACACTTTTTGAATGATAAGGTAATCTACCTTATTCCCCAACTTTCTTTTTGCCAAGTCAACTTCCTTAATATTTTCCAAAGTACACCTTTTTCAGGGAAATTGTTCCCAACAGAGGCAAATATTGATACTTATACAATGAAGTATGATTGACACTGTTGGGAATACCTGCCTCCTGTAATAGGGAGGTCAATGGCATGAATGGTCAAATATTTGGAAAATCACTATAGACTTTGAGGAAAGGAATACTAATCTGATTCCAAAAATACCTTAATCTCTGGAAATTTGCCGAGATATAACAAAGAATTTAGAATAACAGAATTCATAACACAGAAATTAGATTTAAGGAATATGCCACTTTCTTATGTACTTGTTTAGTAAATACATTCTACTTATTGAAACCAAAGTGCTACTTTGAATAAAAAATGTTTTAGGTATTCATTATATGCCCCACACATTCCAGTCTCATAATCTCAGAAATGGGAATGGTGAAGGGAGCAGACAACAAATGAGTAAGAAGGGAGTCCAACTAGCTCCTAATCCATGTCAGAGAGAGACTCATATGGTCTGGCCCTGGTAAAACAGAGTGACATCC